CTCCACAGGAATGTGTGGAGCTACACTTCAGGAATATTATTGTTCTCCCCTGGAATGCTATTGTTGGAAAGCGGCGTAAAACTAAACTCACTCACTAATGCGGAAATATTTAACTTACTTTTACAAATCCTTTCAGAGCGATAGTGAATAAGCTTCCAGGAGTTTCTACAAGAATTCAGACCACCCTCGGCCCCAAAAGTCTGTATACAGCAACTGCCAAGTGTGCCTTCGAATGAATCTTTACAGAAACAATGCGACAGATTGATAACCGTGTTCTACAAAGACGAGTGACTAAATAGCACGTTGTTATTTCCGATAACATAACATTTACACTATTTGATATATAGCACCGTTATTTTCTCTGCTGGCGTACCAGTATTTGAATTTTGGAATTAGTGATGAGATATTTGAGGTAGTCTGGCTTTAGCAAAACATTGTCATCGATAATAACACATATACATATCATCACCAAATAAAAACAAACTCAAATTTTCTACGATACTGATTTTACGTGGTGTACAAAGCGAAACGGTGATGGAATATATGAATGAAAATCGGTGAGGATACTGGGGGGTTGGGGGACTTACAGTTTGATTTGATTGATTGGTTGTTGTTTAACGCCGCACTCAGCAATCTTCCAGCTATATGGTGGCGGACTGTAAATAATCGAGTCTGGACCAGAAAATTCAGTGATCAACAGCAATAGCATCGATCTACGCAGTTAGAATACGACGACATGTTCTAACCAAGACATTGAGCATGACCACCTGATCCCGTTAGTCGCCTCTTACGACAAGCATGGGTTACTGAAGATCAATTCTAACCCGGATCTTCACGGGTTGGCACTGAAAGGGTCCTAACAATATTACCCGCATATCACATAACTTGTATGAAAAAAGAATTGCCTTGTGCAGATGAATGTTATTTTCATACAGTAGACACAAAACCATTATACGACATTTCCATATGTTTCCGCATACAATATGCTCAAATATGCATTCTTTCCAGTAATGTTGTCCTATTCTGCATGTTCACCTAGCCAATGTGACATTTGGAAACTCGTTGTAGGGCGAGTGAAAGCTGCTTTTATGATCTCGAAACAGTTTACTGAGAATGATGTTGATTGCAGTTTGATCAAAGCGATGACATTTATTGTATTTGCGAATACCTGTGTCACAGACGATGACGTTTGGTGGGTACCGCGGACACATGCACTTAGGATTCATGGCACATGCCACCAAAGGTTTGATGAAAGCCTCACGGATCCACAGTTCGTTGTGAAGCAACAGGAAGCCACCGTGGTCTTCAGCGACTGGCGCGAGACTACACACGTCTTCTTTCAAGTAGTTCATTGTCTCCTTTAGGCTATGCTGCGCGACTGAGTGGATATCAGCGTAGGTGACAATGCCTCGTCTCTCCACGTCATCCAGCAGCTGAGGGATGGTTTTGTTCCAGAACCGCACAGACGCGTCCACCCACACCAAGATGTCTGTCTTTGGGAGGTTGGCCTGAGAAAACATGGGAGTGAGAAAGAAACAGATTTTTGAAAGATACGAACCTTTTAACAATCATTTAAGGTAGACGTAGGCCATTGTTCACATAATTCATCACATTAGCCTTGGACGTTGTATAATGTAACTAAACAGAAATTATCTCTGATCTGCGTCACAACGAATACTTTCTTTTACCAGTCAGTATAGACGATGATGTACTGAATCTTACGGTACACTATATGCACACCCTCATCGCATACAACAAAATGAATACAACAGTGTTTACAAGAGCATACCTGTATGATGAAAGATTTCCATGCGTAGCACCGTAGATTTTGCAGCCTTGGTGGCATCAACTCCAACGGGAAACGTCTCAGTTCACAACGCCAATCTCTCATCAGCTGGGATTAAAAGTACAGCAAAACATATGACATAGGCTGGAGGCAATGTTGCATACAGACAGTGAATACTACTTTAACAATTTTGCATACAGGCAGTGAATACTACTTTGGCAATGTTACATGCAGATAGCATAAGTGCCGAATTGGACCATGAGGGGACCACACTGTTTGGTTCAGTTAACCAGTGGACCATAGGCGCCACATTTGCTAATCCCTTATCTCGGGGGATTCAATTTTTTATACACTCTTTTGCTGACTAGACAGTCCATTGACTGAAATCATGAGCAGTGGTCTGCGAAAACAGGATACGTCAAGCTGACTCACTGCGATGCATTTGAAATACGGCAGCCTCATCTCACTGAGATCACTCATTGTGAGGTACAGAATAAATAAACTGGACCATCCGTGAAGACGTCGTTTTGATAACATAGCTGATTTGTCAATATCCAGCTGTACATTCACCTGATTCCGTTGCCATGACCACAGTCCAAGGTCATAATACACAAAGGTGTAGTTACTGATGTAGGGGAAGACGTTCTCATGGAGATTCCTCATCAGACCCTGTGACTCATGGAAGTGGTTGCTTGAGGCTGCAGTGACGAACATGACTCTCTTGCCCGAGGGAGGTTCTGGGAACAGCCCCAGCATGAGGCTCAGGTGCTGATGGTTGAGATCCGACATTGTGGACAAGACGCTTCTCAGGTTGTCCTCGGGTGTTGTAGGCTTGGGTCGAGGACAGGAGGACTCAACACAAGGTCTGCCTGAGGACAAGAACGACATTAACGCACTTAAAAAGGGAAAATACATTCGTAACCATCAATACTCTTGATCTTTTAGCGCCACGTATTGCTGATGCTATCAGGCAGGGTTGGCTTCATCACAAGATGAATACCAAGACATTCCACGACTGATCGTCATCGAGCTATCTCCATGATCTGATGTTAGCTCAAGTCTTCTATCGCTGATGGTTATTAAGAGAATTAGTACACCACGCCAAGAATGAATACCCAAAACGACCCCTGCAAAAATACGCAGGTACGTAAAGTAGATACGTACTGAAATACGTATTGAAAAAATTCCCCTGAATATTCCCGAACGCCATAAGATAGGTATTTCGTGTTTGTTTTTGTGTATGCGTGCGTGCGCGCATGTTTGCGTGTGCGTACGTGCGCGTGCGTGTGTGTGTTCTAGGCACTGGGCTAAGTTCTGAGATAAGTCTGCTAACTTGGAAGTTCTTCCTCTTCACATGTTTTCACGTCAGTCTTCTTCCACAGTCCCGCCATTTGTAAGTCTGATAACAGTAAAGCAAAGGTCAGATATCCAGCTGGCATGAATGTGTACACGCATCTCGTGTAGTGGACAGTACAAACTATTATATCCGAACGTACGTCCGTATTAGAAGGACTCATTTTCTGATTACATGTACAAACACTTCTTCCTTGGAATATTAACCAGAAGAAAATACTTGGATCGATTATAAGTGAGTGAGTTAGTTTTCACGTCGCTTTTAGCAATATTCAATTATCAAAACATTAGTAAGCCCGAAGCAGTCGCCGAAGGTCCAAACTATTATGCCTGTATCAAGGTCAGTGAGTGAGTGAGTTTGGGTCTACGCCGCTTTTAGCAATATTCCAGCAATATCACGGCGGAGGACACCAGAAATTGGCTTCACATACTGTACCCATGTGGGGAATCGAACCCGGGTTTTCGGCGTGAGGATCCAACGCTTTTACCACTAGGCTACCCTACCGCCCCTATCAATTATGCGACATAATGTTGTATCCGACTAATGGTCAAGGTCATTTTTAGGGTTGGATATTGCGCTGATTTTCATATTGCGATATATTGCAATAATTTAACATATATATTGCAATATATATTGGGGTATATTGACTGGAAAGTTTCTGCTCAAGTGCGTACATCATACATTCATAATAGCTCTCTGTGAGCAACATCATCTTCTTAATTGCCGTTACTCCATACTTTCAGGCTCATTGTGACAGATAAACAAAATGATATAGAGCCATAACGTGGAATGTTTGACTGAAGTATTGCAACAAAGTTTTGCGAACATAATGATAAAGGTAATAGTATAACATGCTTTTCATGGTCAGTGTTGTTTGCTTCAACAGAATGCACTTCAATGCAGTATGTAATTATTGTTACTGTATGTCAGTGATTCATTCAGATTTAACTCCAATATAAACATGTGTTAACATGAACTATTGCAAAATGAAACAAAAACACGATTTAGTTTTACTACTTGCGCTTAAAATCTCATGTGACCTCCGATGATTAAGATCTTTGACTGGAATGTCATTATACAGTCCATTTAATTGATGAATTTTGATTAATATGTTCTGTAGATATATGTATTTTAATGATTGGTAGTTTAGATTAGTAACTTAGCTTGTTAGTGGCTGTATCCCCAAATGCGGTTAAAGTATTGTAAAGTTAGTGTCCTCCTGAGAGGGTACGTAAGTCCCGAAACATTTAAAGTAAATTTCAACTTACCAGATTCTTTAAACGTAGTATTTATGTGATTTTAATTTATTGCTTAATTCGACTACAATCGCCAGCAGCTGAAGGGATGATATAAATCCAGCTAGGATCCATGCAGGTAGCAAAAGTACTGTAAGTCCCCATGGTCCCTAGTATGGTAATCCGCCTTCAGTTGTTGGCATCAACAGACCATTTTTACATTGTATTGTCCAAAACTAGTTTTCTAATTTTAAAGATATATGCTAGCTGGTTTTCACTCATTTTGTGATAATCTAGTAATTTTACTGTCCTTCATTGACAAGGTTTTATATATTATATGTATGTATTATGAATTTAGAACAGAGGAACAGATAAGCTGTGTATCTGCGTAAATTACGCAAATATTCATGTGAAAACTTAATTCCTATTACGTCTATTGCGTACATGTACGCTTGATTTTTTGTACATACTCTCTACATTTGATCTTACATGCGTACACACAAAAACGTTAAGGTATATTGAGAGGTTCTATTTCAGCACATGAACTCGGCAACTTGCAGTCTTTCTTATCGTTTCTCATATTACTGATCAAATATAAACAACAAACACCTAAACAAACATTTAAACTATGTTATATTTTTACAATTAATGGAAAATGACAAAATACCCAACTGAGTTTGAGTGAGGTGGGTACAATTTATTTGGTTACTCAAAGAAAAATTAGTATACCCAATTGAGATAAACACAAGCGCGTACATAACTCAAAGACCCAAAAAGTTATCTGTAGCTCTGTAGAACTAGTTTTAGTCACGATATGGCTGAAATATTGCCGGTGTGGCTTCAAATCATAATTCACTCACTCACTCATTATACAGTCCTATAAAATCTATCAGACTTAGACTTTTATGATAAATTTATATCATATGTCCCATTATGAAACAAACAAAAATAACAACATAGACTACTGTGAATTGTGAAATGGTCATTCAGAGCCAGACGCACTACTATAAGTCCAAATAAAGAACTGATCCATTTGAGGCCACTTAATTCTTCCAAAATGCCACATATGAAACCATTCAAACCCACAAAACGTAAAGCATTTGGTAGAGTGAGTGAGTGAGTGAGTTTAGTTTTACGCCGCACTCAGCAATATCCCAGCTGTGGTCTGTAAATAATCGAGTCTGGACCAGACAATCCAGTGATCAACAGCATGAGCATCGATCTGCGCAATTGGGAACCGATGACATGTGTCAACCAAGTCAGCAAGCCTGACCACCCGATCCCGTTAGTCGCCTCTTACGACAAGCATAGTCGCCTTTTATGGCAAGCACATGGGTTGCTGAAGACCTATCTTACCCCGGATCTTCAGGGGTCCATTTGGCACTTTTGGAGCCACTTATAATCACATTTCCACTTGTAAAATGTTACACGAAATCAACAGAAATAAAAGTATATTTGGCAGTTTTAGAGTCCACTTTTTGCCACTGAAATCATGCCCAGATAATTCAAAGGTAGCTAACTCTGGATGACCCAATATATTGCAGAATCTGAACCATATCGCGATAATCGTATCGCGAGAAAATGTACCTGTTTTTACCGGTTTACCGGTAATATTGCATAGCCCTAGTCATTTTGCTTGGGAAACGTCTATTAATATTTTCTCAAAGATTAAACGACATTCACAATGCTGAGTGTTGTTTAACCATGACTGATATGGAATTATATTATCATAAATACTTATTGCATCAGGCAAGTCATTTTCGTCCGAGAAAACACATGTTTTCAAGCATTTGCAAAAACAATGTAGAAAGTTTATTTTAGGAGGCATTGTTATTGTACATGCAACTTTACCTGCCAATTTCTGTGTGAACTCTCTCAGCAATTCATCAAAGTTGACAATCTCAACTGGAACTGGAACAGAACTGTCTTTACATCTACCTTCCAACATACAATGTACTGGAATACTACTTAACTGAGTGAGTGAGTTTAGTTTTACGCCGCACTATTCCAGCTATATGGCGGTGGTCTGTAAATAATCGAGTCTTGACCAGACAATCCAGTCATCAACAGCATGAACATCGATCTACGCAGTTGGCATACTATGACATGTGCCAACCAAGTCAGCAAGCCTGACCACCCGATCCCGTTTGTCGCCTCTTACGACATGCATGGGTGACTGAAGATCAATTCTTACCCGGATCCTCACTGGTTGGCATTTATCAAAATGCAAATATTATTATGTGTATGATACCTCTACAGGGGCTTGTATGTTTGCATGTGGGCCATAGCAAGTTTAACCTTCTATGTTCATATATTTCTCCCAAACTCACGAGAAAACAATTAATAGACTTACCAGGTTGCACTTTTCCTACGAGGTGGGAAACGTCAATCGTTTGCGATTCATCTGGAAGAAAACTCATCAATTATGCAATCATCTTTGAGAACCAAACCAGAAACCAACATCGACAATAAGACAAGAACGTACGTCTTAGTTGACATAAACATATCTTAGTTGATTTAAACTAGACACTCTCACATGACGTATAATATGCATTGAAATAACGCGGCAGATTTTAAAGAAAATCTTTCACTTCAAACTGAAATCGATCAGATGTCGAATTATCTATATCATATGTGAATGTATCATATGTATTTCCAGGGATATGAAAGACCTATGCATATCGCCTACAGTTTGATCATCCACGAAACGTGAATTTTGATTTAAAACACCACCATGTTTATGTATGTCCCTTTATGAGAGGTGTTGAGCGGCATGTGTAAACTGTTCCACAGGAAGTATACTATTCACACATTGCTTAGGATCAAATCATGGATTCAACAGAAAATTTAACTATGATGTGGGGGTCAAATTTGGTTTAAATATCTAAGCTTATTGTAATTATAAGCATGAATCCTAGGTTTCAGTATGTCATTTCATCGTGTGGATCCCATACCTGCTATTGACAGGTGTTGTGTACTTGTCAATGACTCGTTCCATGAGTTGCAAAATGGTTGATTGGAGCCATGAAAAACATTTTGATGGTTACTCATGTATCAAGTGCATAAGGTTAGATTAAAGTGACCGTTTGCCTAAAGAGGGGTTACCAAATTATTATTTATCCAGTTTTATATGGATACAATTTCAGGTTATGAATCTACATTTAAGGAAAGTTGTGAATTTTTGTGATCCTTAGCAAAGTGTGAGTAGGATATGTTCCTAGCATTTTATCTTTGAACGAACCATGGAGCCTCTCTTTACATGATTTTGTACACTGTACAGTCAAACACTGATGTGTTGCACTTTCTTGTGTCCAAAGTACGCTTGTGTCGAAGAAAAAGCTTGACCCCTGTTTAACCCTTATTTACTTATCATTTACGTAACACTGTATAACTCGAAGTATTAACGGAGGACCTTCAGTTCCGACACGATGTTGTTTCACTGTATATATTGGTTGTGCAGCCACGAATGTGTGAACGTGACAGATACATACAGGCGTAGGTGGATAAATAGCCAGTGGTGTTTTCCTCGACAACGACGACCGTCAGCAGCACCACAGCGGCAAGAACTGGAACATTTATAATTTATCAATGTCATTGACACACTGTATCCGGAAATGTCATCACAAACGATATTGATGAACCTGTAATATAGTTTTAAAGATTTTAAACAGTCACACAGTAACTACAGCGTTATGTGAGCAGCCTCTCTGATGAAGTAATAACATAACAAAAATATGTAATGCAAGATTTATGGATGTCAACTTCTTTATTATGAACAACACGACGTTTCGGAGCGTACCCTTGCTAATTCATACACCCCGAACAGTCGTGTTATGCACAATAAAGAAGTTGACATCCATAAATCTTGCTTTTCTTATGCATTCCACTTCTAAATGCCCTTCAAAGATTTAATAACATGACGTTAAGAACTCGGGTTTTTCGTGCCGTGTCAGCTGGGGGAAATCATTGGAAGGGAATTAACTAAGAAGGGAGTACAGCTTGCGCTATACATGTGCTCCCTCCCACATTTTATGAAGATGATATCAATGAGGAAATTCAGTAAATTCTCAGTAACCCTGAGGTTAGAGTTAGTTTCATATCTGTCCAGGACATACGTCATCTCCAGTTTTAGGCGTCTACAGTCGATAAGAATGAGTAGGGGTTGGGTTTTCGAGTCGGGTGCCCTCCACGACCCTCTACCTCGCCTTCACCTCCACCGCGTCCTGACCCTCCACCTCGCCTTGACCTCCACCTCGCCCTGACCCTCTACATCATCCTGACCCTCTACATTATCCTGACCCTTTACCGCGTCCTGACCCTCAACATCGACTCAACCCTCCACCTCGTCATGACCCTGCACCTCGCCTTACTCTCCACCTCGACACAACCCTCTACCTCGTCCTGACCCACCACAAACGTCCTGACCTTCACCTCGTCCTGACCCTCAACCTCGTCCCGACCCTCCACCCCGTCTAACTCACCATCTAGTCGTCACTCTCCACCTTGTCCTGACCCTCGACCTGGTCCTGACCCTTCACCTTGTCCCGACCCTCCACCTCGTCGTCACCCTCCACCCCATCCTGACCCTCTATGTCGTGCTGACCCTCAACCTCGTCCTGACCCTCTATGTCGTGTGACCCTGACCCGTCCTGACCCCTATCTCGTCCTCACCCTTCACCTTGTCTCGTCCTGACCCTCTATGTCGTGTCCTGACCCTCTACCTCGTCCTGAACCTCTACCTCGTCCTTACCCCCCACCTCGTCCTAACCCTCCACCATGTCCTTGACCTCCTTCCAACTCGTCCCCTCGTCCAACCTCGTCCTTACCCCCCACCTCGTCCTGACCCTCCTCCTTGTCCTTGACCCTCCACCTCGTCCTGACCCTCTACCCTCCTCGTCCTGACCCTCCTCCTTCTCCTGACCCTCCACCTCGTCCTGACCCTCCACCTTGCACTGACCGTCTACCTCGTCCTGACCTCCACCTCGTCCTGACCTCCACCTTGTCCTGACCTCCACCTTGTCCTGACCCACCACCTCGCCCTGACCCTCCACCTCGCCCTGACCCTCTACCTCGTCCAGTAGTATACACAATGGGGCTACGGGACCAGGTCCTCCCCAAGGGCTCAATTTTTACATAAAATTTTACATACATTTTTTACATGAAATTGAGCCTTTGGAAGTCCCTGATCCCGTAGCCCCATTGTATATATTAGTACTGAGTCGCATGCAAAATGTGATGAAAATCGGTCGAATAGGTTCTGAAATATGTGACTTTTAAGTGAGCATGGGGTCGGTCATGAAAAAAAGCTCGGGTCGCCTCAGGGATGGTTGCTCCTCCGAGCGCTGTGGGCGGACAAGTCGATGGCTTGGCTATGGTGAGCTCCCGCTGTACCTCGTCTCACTTGGCCAGCAGCTGTGACACGGCTCCCATGAACTCGTGTCCGGGATTGACTTGCAATATGGTAGGCTATGTCAAGCGACTGCATTTGTATATGCTTTCAAAGGCTTTGACGACTTCGTTCGAATCTTTTGTTGTCAACGATTCGGTTTCCTTGTAGCAACTGGTAACATCTACGACGGTCAGGGCGTACTTGTAGGTTTTACACCTCACCCTGTCGTGAGGGAGAAACAGGAGGTCGGCTTGGTAGACGCGATTCGGCGTTGAAATGTCGAAGCGCCGGCAGGAGGACTTGCCAGATGGCTTGTTTTTTAAGCCAAGCTTTGGCTTTCTTCCGAGACTCAAGCGGCTTTGGCGAATTTCGGGATGGCGTCCGTGCCTTTCCAGTACCATCGCGGGCTGTAATAAATTTTCTCCATGATATATGTATGCATGTGTGCGTAAGCGTTCAATTATTCGATATGCGTTTGTGCCCATACGCGTAAGTGGTGACTCTGTCGATGGCGATCCATCATTTCGTGTCCAAGGGAGACAGCGAGGTCTTGTTGATTCTCAGTCCGTATATCCTGTGTCCGTCGCTTCTCAGCATGTTCATTTGGTGTTTGAACGTTTTATTCTTGAACAGGGCTTCCTTGAATCTGGCGTGCTTGATGTGTTTTTTCACCACGTGTTTTTTCACGCCTTTTGCCTTTCAGATTTCATCGTCGTCGGCTTTCTTGATGGAATACATCTTGGGTCTCAAGCCGACGTACTCAGCGATCGGCGTGCCCGCGCATTCGTCCTTCATCTTGCCGAGCACTTTTTTGTTGACTTGGCTGTGCATAGGGTGATCTTTAGGGTAGTCGCTGGTGTCGTACAGTTACATGTGTTTCTTCATGTCCTCGTACACGTTCTCGGTGCGAATTTCCATCAGCAGGGAATCTGTGTCCGTGTACACCACTTCGCACCTGTCGCTGTACTGCTTTTTCAGCTCGTTGTAGTAGAAATCGTACATCAAGTGTTTGGATAAGTCGAGGATGCTCATCCCCAAGTAAACGGGCTGGTTGAATTTGATGTGGCTTTTGTTCATGTGCAGCGCTGCCAAGTCTTCGTCGTCGAAAAGCTTGCTTCGGTGGAACGACGGGCTGGCTATGAGTTTCCTGAGTTTTTCTTCCTCGATGGATCTGACTAATTTCACGTTAACGCGTTCTCTCAAATTCTCCATCGTCTTGCCCGACACACCGAGTTGTTCATGAGCTTGTACAATTTTTTAGAAGTCGCTCATTGCTGTTTTTTACAGATTCGTGTTCAACCGAATGTAAGGTTCCATCCATGGACTTTGATCGAACTGGAGCACCCTGTGTATTTTCGTGAGTTTCATTCCCAGCGACATAGCTCTTTTGTGATTCGTGCAGTTCTGGGGATAGTCAAAGTCCACTTCGAGCACGTAGCCTTTGTTCGAATCTGGCGCGATGCTATTCAAGTCAATCATCTCGGGCGAGGAGACTCATTCGAATCCCCCGGTGGGGAGATACTGACTCATGGCCCAGCCATACAGGTTGTTGGCGTCGAGATAGAGTATGTGTTTGGTCGGTTTGATGGGGTCATGAGCGGGAACGTACTTGTTGTTGGATTTGGCGTATCGTTTGGAGGTCATAGAAATCCCGCCTTGCAAGCCTTTTTCCACGAACAGGTGCATGTCGTAATCCGTCAGTAGTTTCATCTCCATTCCGGTCTTTTTCAACAAGGCATCCCAAGAGAGACCGGGGGAGGAGAAATACCACACGAGGTCCAGGTCGTACTGTTTTGAGCACGTTTATCTTGAACACGTCAGCCAGCAGCAGCACGTCCGTTTTCAAGTACAGGTCGTGGTAATCACCCAAATTCTTGCAGCCCAGTTTGTCCCACACGTTTATCACGTGCGCGTAATCGTCTTGAGAGATATTGGAATCGGTCAAGTTGCTGTAAAATTGGTCGATGGGAGGTAATCGCGTCTCATCGAACTTAGACATGGAGAAATACATCTCGTTCTCGTTAGATGGTCTGAGATTTATCGATAGCGTTCAGTTCCTGCTGTCATCTCTAGACAGTTTGGTGAACACCAATGACACGGCCGTCCATGTACTCGTAGGGGAAGATGCCTTTCCTCAGCAGCAGTGGTCGAGTCTCGGCATTGGTGAATAGATTGGTGATGTCGAAGTCCTCCGTGTTGTTGGCGTTGGAACGAGATGTAATTTTCCATGTTGTTGGTGATGCACGTTATGTTGCGTGGACTTTCGCGATGGCCTGCATGATCAGGTGAGAATCGTAACCGCGAAGATTGTGAAACACGACGGGGATTTTGATGGTCTTGGGATTGATTTTGAGCTTCAAGTTGCATGCGTTGTGAGCGGCACCTCTGTACCTCTATAGTTTCGAACATCGGTTTTTGCTTGAGTTATGCTAGAATTTTGCTTGAATTTTGCTAGAATTTTGCTTAAAAGCTATATATGACTTTATACACCACGGGTTGGTCGGTTTTCAACAAGAGTTTGGTGTGTTTCGTTTCGGCTAGCTGTTTCTTCACTTGTTTTGTTCTTGCTTGGTCAGGATCACGTCGTTTTCTCGCAACGAGTCCCTGTCCTTGCAAACGCTGTGCTTTATGTGCCGGCCCGAGAAGGGCATCTCCTTTTTGACGCTGCAGTCGTCCAGGATGAACGTCGGGTCCGTTTGATTCTCCTTTCAGTTTGTAAAGTCGGGTAAGCACGCAACCAGTCCTGCAGACGAATTCCAGGATCGATTTTGTGCACGTCCGGGTCCGTTATCACCACGGAATCTTCCGTGTACATCTTGTTCACCCATCTTGTAAATTTAACTTGCCAGCCGGATTTTGCGTAATGCTTATCCAGGTACCTACTGAGTGTCTGTCGTCAGGTGAAACCCAGGTCTTTGATGACGTCGTTGACTTCAGGCGAGTGTCGCTTGATGGCCGGTAGTTTTCTTATCTCGTCCCACTGCTGGTAAGCTCGCATGCCTTGGCTGAACAGTTGGTTGGGCACACCCTCAACGGTCACTTCAACTTTTGTGATCTCGGGATTCCAAGTGAGTTCGCTGTCTCTTTCGAAACGGCTCGTATTCCACCACGGGAATGATCAAGATGCCTTTCATCGATCAAGCCGGCACGTTCAGGTTGATGTTCCACAACGCTCTTGTCCTTGACGATGGTACGGTGCCGCAACACAGGTCGTACAGGATGGACAGCTTTTTAAGTACTGGGTGCAAATCTGCCGGGCCAGATTCGTGTTCGTGACCATGTCGAACTCCAGTGAGATGTTGTCGACAACGTAGCTGGCCTCGGTGCCGCCCAGCGTTAAAATAACTTTGCCGTAGTTGTTGAACGTGAGTTCATATTCCAGCCTGTGGACCAGCGCCGCCTGGTAAAATGGCATGTGCCCTTTGAGCAACTCGATGTC